TTTTTTTTTTTTTTTTTTTTTTTTTTTTTTTTTTTTAATTGGATCTCCAGCATTCTATGAAGTACTTAGGAGATCCAAAAGAGATCCAAAAAGATCCATTTCTCGAGTAACAACATCAAAGTTGTCCCAGCCTGAAAAGACAGACCAACGTTCAGGTAAGTATTTGATATCTCTATGTTCTACTCAATTAGAATTGTAGAAATTCAGCATTACTTAAAATACTGCTGTTAATTTTACGAAGTAATACAGCAGGTCAGTGTATGTAAAGATTAGGAATGAAAATTCACCTCCTGGTATTTCTGTTAGCGGAAGTCAGGGATGCTCAGAATTCTGAGAATGTGGCCTCACTGCCACAGTGCGACACATAAATAGTGATGACACAAGCATTCGAATATGGATTTTGGGGAAAAAAGTTCAGTTAATTTTTTTTTTAGCATATGAACAGTAAGGTGGCTTTGTCAGTGGCATACGTTTTCACTGAAAAGTATATTCCAGGTATTTGATGAATTAGCTGAGGGAGTGCAAGCTAGAAAAATATAATGTTCAAGGAAGAAAAAAAAAAAACACCACCACAAATCAACAAATAAAATATGCTGCTTTTCTGATGAAAGACCTTGGTTGCTAGGAAGAGTGTATTCAAATGTTTCCTTATGTTTTGCTGAGATTTTCATCAGTGTGGTGTAGGTGGCTAACACTGCCCTTTAAATAATGTTTTCTTAAGTAGCGAAGCTATAATTCAATGAAGAAATTGCAGTAATCACATTTGCTCAAAAACTGAGAATTGTGGCCTCTCTAATTAAAATGGCATCTTTCAAACATAAATCTACTGGCTAATACATTTTAATATGTTTTCATAATTACAGATATTTGAAATCAACTTGATATTGAAAAGAGAAAATGCCGATCCTGCATGCAGGAAGTGTTTCAAACCCACTTGAATCTTTTTTTTTTTTTCTCTCCTGATGTTCTTTGTAGTTTGGTGGAAGTGTTGGCAAGTTCCTAACCATACAGTTGATGATGCTTTTCAGGGAGGGAGATATATTAAGCAATTGCTTGAATCAGGAACTGCCTCTTCATCCTTCATCTGCCTCTCACAGGTTGGACTTGGAAGAAGGCCCTGTCCTGCCCTCATCTTGACATTGTTTGCATGCTGCTCAGCTTACTCATGACCATTCTGTCAGCATGGTGAGAAACCCTGCCCATGTGCTGTTTGCTACCATGGCTGTAGGAGCACTATGAAAGACAAATAAATGCCACTTTCTAATTTCAGAAAAAGAGAAGACTCGAGGCTACTTTCACGCTTGGGGCTTGTCTTTTTGCTGTCAAAAATGTTTCTTGTTCTGCAAGAAAATAAATGACTTCAAACACAGCTCTTTCTTATGCAGCTGTTATGCAGGTAAAGGTGGGTTTGTAAAATGTGAGTGTATCTGTCTATGTAAGAACTGAAAGGTTCAAATAGGCATTTAGGTTGTTTGGTGCCCTATGTGCTTCTGGTGTGTGTAGCCTAAAACTGGGAACAGGGAATGTAGCAAATATCCTGCAGTCTCCAGAGGCACCCTGGAATCTGTGGTTGAGCATTTGCCCTTGTCTCCTTTCCAGTTATTGTGTATCTGTCATTCAGAGTTACAGATGTTGAGGTGGAGTAGAGAATGACATAGCATTTGGTAATCAGAATGAAGGGAGAAACAAAAGAAAAGGCCAGTAATGCAAGGTAGCTATTAAGAGTTATATAATTTGTCAAAAGTGGACCTTCAATGGCAGAAGCAGCATTTTACCTTAGTGCAGCAATATTCCCTTAGTGACTCCAGTGCAGTCTTGGTAGCTTTTGGCTAACAAACTTGGAGAATTTCATGTTTGTGGTATGAACTATGCATAATAAAGCCAAACAGTATAGTGAATTAGTAACTCGTGAGTGTGGTCAGAAATCCCTGTAAGGCTGGGATTGGCAGAATCTAAGGGTTGGAACTGTTTGTATTAAAGCTATGGCTTCCTTGTGAAGCTAGCGTTGTAGGTCAGTCACAGCCAGAAGAGTAAAGCTCTACAGCAGACTGAGCTCAGTAACAAAGTACTACAGCTCAAGGATCAGTGTCCCAGTTCATGCTGATGGTAATAGAAAAATATCTACTGACTTCCTTTGGAGTTTGAGCTGCCTGTGAAAGGAAGCATGTAAGAATTTAGCCCAGTGCTTGCTGCCCATCTTTATTTGCTCTTCCTACCCAGCCTCATTCACTTAATTACCAACATAATTTAATTTAAAGCTATAATATATTACAATTCAATTTTACTGCAGTATAGCTGTATTTCAAATGCTGTGTTTTAATTCAAAATATGAACTAAAGAAATAAAATGTCAACCAATAGAGTGGTAACCTTCTAAAGGGGAATTCCATTTCAGTTAAATTTTCAGTGGTGAATGCTAAGTTGGGTATTTTCTATATCATAGTAGCTTGTCAATGAAAGCATGCATGCCTTAATGTTTCTTGACTAGCTTTTTTGTTAGTGCAACAGGAGTCCCAGAATTTGGCAGAACAGTTACTCAGCTGTAGAGATGATAGTCTTGTGGAATAAACACTGTAGAAATTTGCCCCGAGTCCAAAGAAAATGATCTTTGCCTGAGATCCTAGGCATCTTGATTCTTAGCCAGCACAATTTACCACTGAAACCAGGCTAAATGTGCCTCTTTCTTTAGTATCTCCTTGAAGGAATGTGTATGTATGCAAACAAACCTGTGCATCTGGCAACCTTACACCTTGCTGAAGGCAGATCTGTGGTAGGAGGCTTCCTCATGGCTGTGGTTTTCATGAGGAGATTATTTTCTTGCTGCAACAGCTGTAGATAACCTGAACATCATTCTTTTTCATTGTCTTAGGTCAACTCGATCTGTGGTTGAGTTTAGAATCCCCAAATGACGATTATGTGATAGGTACAAGATGAAGATTTTAAAGCTATATTAATGTCATTTCTTAAGGGTCTTTGTCACTTTTCAGCATCAGTCTATTGTGAATCATGCAGAGAAGGAACAGAATCTACCACAGCCTTTAAGTAGTAAGAAATTTCAACTGGATGACTGTGTAAGAGGTTTGTGACACTGCAAGTAATTTTTTTTTATATTCAGAGTTAAATAGAGCAATAAGATGGAATTTAAGCTTTAGTGCAATGGATTGAGGCTCTTCAGTCAATCAAATTATAGTTCAATCAGTTCATTTTAATCACTTCTCTAGAGAGAAGTAAACTCCTATGTTGAAGAATATGCAGCCATTTTATTGACGGAAAGTTTAATTGTTTTCATTTTTCCTTACTGTCTGTAACACACTAGACTTTTAATCAGTGGGAACTGAAGTTATAATGAAGTAAAGTCCACTTTCCACAGTTCACAACTAGCTGAAAATAATTGGGTTGAGACTCCCATCCAGACAGTGTAATGCCTCTGGCATTTTCCTGAAAACTACACTTAATTGCTTTGCTGATGTTGTTAAGTGGTCCTGAGGGGGATGAAGTAGTAAAGCTGCCCACATATGCAGAGAAACAATACACAAAAAAAATGTCTTACAAGGTCCTTAAAGGAGGACCAACTGGTGACTAAAAGAAAATATACGGCCTTTTTTTCTTTCTTTTTTTACACCAGGGAGAATACAGGCTGATAAAATAAACCATGGAAATTCTATGAATGCTAACAGTATTTTTACTTAAAAAGAGAAAGCTTGGGACTTCAAGTACAGAAAACACAAAGTGAATTGCAGGTTTGATTGCAAGAGTTGACATTTTTACATTGAATGCCAGTGAGTGTGTTTCAGCATCTCGAGCTGAGCAACAGTCTGTCCCTACAGAGGGAGGACAGCTTGCTTGCTGTGCTGCAGTGTGGTGGGATATGAGCCAGCTATGAGCTGAAAGCCTTGTCCAGGCATCAGTGGGACCAGCAAGGGTACTGGAATAGACTCCGAAAGGGGCCAGAGAAAGAATAATACTTTGGAAATGTTCCTAATTTAGTGTAGTCATAGGGAAACACTCCTCAGCTGACTGGCGTTTGAGGCCTAAAATGATGAATGAACTGCTAGACTCTGGCACATCCCAGTGGAGAAGTATGTTACTATTTAATAGAGAAAAATACTTATTTAGGACAAGTGAATTAAGTAGTGGGAGAAGGGAGTTCAGTTGTGCTAATTTAGTTTTGTGCAGATGTTTAGTTTTTTATAAATGAATTGTTTATTTATATATGATGGCACAGCATTCTGTCAACAGCCTGGCCTTCCTAACTTGGTGTCTGTGTAAATTTCAGTATTGCCTTTGCTTATTTTATTGTTGCTCTGATAGGCTCTGAGCTGAGCAACTGCTCCCTTGAGAATGTAAACAAAATTTGGGCAGTGAAGGCTAAAGCAAAAATCTCAATTACCCCTTCTAAGCCCACATATGAGTTAGAGGGGTGAGGGATTTTTTGTCAACCTCTTATTTGGTACTTGAGATTCTGGCCTGCAAAGCCAGAAGCCTTTTTCCACTAAGATATCCTTAAGTCCTGACAGGGCTAGGATACTTGAGTATCTAGCCCTGTCTTAACCTGACTCAGTGCCACAAGAGGCTTTAATACCTAGTTTTCCTATAACAAAATAGTAACCTTCCATACACCATGAAACCGCAAGCCATATGCCAAGGATCTCAAACTGTCAGGTTGGAGACTAGCCCTCGGAATAGCCTGTTGTGTCTAATTGAGTCTGTTTGCTGCCTCTGGGAGAACAGCTCAATAGCAGCAGCAGTTATGCTCTGCTGTTTGTGGGGTCCCATTGTGAGGTGAGGAACAGGGTATGGAATGGTTGAAGCAAAGGACGCCTATGTTTTGAAAAGCCAGAAGACTTACCTTGGTTCTTGCAGTCCTTTAGAATCGGTAAGAATATAAAACCCCAAGCTAAGTCTTCATTTGCCTGTTTCTCTGATAACTGCTCACATGGAAAGATGTGATTTTCATGGTTGTCATCAAAGCCTGTGTACTCAGTTGTGGAAACATGTCAGACACCATATGTCAGTAATACGCCTTTGAAATGGTGGTGTCTGAATAATTTTTTGACTAGCTGAATGGCATGTGTTTAAATATAAAAGCTGTCCTGTGTTTGTACTGTCTCTATTCTCTATGTTTTCTCTTTGTTAAAACTGATTGAAACTCAGAAAAATTCTGGGGTTCATCCATTTTTACAGAAATACAGCATTTAGGTTACTTCTACTTGTGGCCTGTATGTTCTCTCTTAATCCATGACAAAGGCATTTAAAAGAATTTTTGATCTTTCTATAACCAAAACAGATGGTTCCAGGTTAGATAAAATGTGATTTGACTATAAGTGTTAAGTGAAAGACTGTGGTGGTGTTGGGCACGTTCTATTACCTGTAGATTTACTTCCAAGTACTCCATGTAAGAGTAGTGCGCTCAATAATGATGACAGTAAGTTGGTTTTATCCAGAAACTCTTCTGATGCAGTTAAAGAATGTGCAGTGTAATTAATGACTTAATAAAGAAAAGAAATAATGTGTTTGTTAGGCTATTTATTATACATGGATGAAGCTGAAGAACTATTGTCACAACAAAGGCATCCAAAAGCAGTTATTACAACTCATCAATCAAATAAGCCACTGGAGTACCATTCACAGTGCTATAAGCAGTCTAAAAGGCACAGTTTGATCTGAAGTAATGAACAGTTTCTTACCATTACAGGAGAATGACGAGAGACATTATGAACCAACTGGGAATACCTGGAGAGAGTAGAGCTGAGTTTCTTAATGCTGAAGTGGAAAGGAGCTTATAAAATGTTACAAAAGGGGTGACAGTGTTTACTACAAGCTTAGCAGCATGATGACAAGAAGAGGCTATTGAAAGAAGCCACCACAACAGAAAATTGCATACATCTTCAGAAAATGCTTTGTTTAAGCACGTGTTCATGCTCTCACCACTGCCTCGTGAATGCCATTTTTTGCCTCGTGGTAGCAGCAGGTGACAAATGTCAACTCCTGGTGTACTTACCCCAGGCTCACCTTAGTATGCTATCTGTGTGGTTGTGCCCTGCCCAAAGAAAAACACCATCACCTACGAGAAAATAAAATTTGATGCAAAGCAATCACAAAGCTTTCTACAGGCATTCTGGCAGCACAGAATCAGAGCTTTTCATAGGCATAACTTACAAACAAACAAAACAACAAACAATACCAAATACCACCAGCAACAAATAAAGTCATAAAAGGTTTTGTGTGGTGTTGGTGCCACCAACCTCTTCAGCCAAAAATAAATTAAAAAAAAAAAAAACAAAACAAAAACTTTAAACCTGACGCCTGGACAGCAGGGCCCCATGTGGCACTTTCAGACATTAAATAAAGCCAACAAGCAAAGAAAAAAATAAAAAGGAACAAAAACAAACTAAGCCACAAAACCCACTTCTGCTACAGTAACTGCAAATGAATGACCAGAGATGATCTTTG